TTCATTAGTTGTCCATGTGGAGATGCCAAACAGACAGCTAGATCCATGAGTCTGGGACCTGGGAGGAAGGTCTGGGATGAACACAAGTCTGGTAGAATTTGGTTACTGCTTAGTATCACTCAAATGTCAGACAGAGAGCACATGCCTCCACGCCCTCTTAGTACTGTGACACAAGCAGGAAACAGGGCACCACAACTACAAGGGTGATCATAACACTGTTTGCATTAGCAGTTACATAACATGTGGTCACCATCCCAATACACTCTGTCCTTGTCAGCTATTTGCTAGAGTTCTATGCCAGTTTTGTGGCTTAAGAGGAATGTGAAGAATTTGGGCCAAGCCTAGGAAAAAGCCAGCCATGTAGATGAATAAAGGAAGGAAAATGAAATGCAGCAAAGGTTAGCAACAGGAGTGAGAGATCTGGTCAGGGATGATGAACAGCTGGCCCCAAAGACTTCATCACAGAGGTCTGGATGCCTAGAAGTAACTTCTAGGCAAAGTAAAATAAAGGGAAATGAGCTTCCACTGTAGTATCAAAACTCAGATTAAAAATAAAATGGAAAATTAACACCTATTTGAAACCTATTATCAGGTAGAAATTCCCACCTTACTGATCAGAAAAACAGGATTCTAAAAGGTTAGCCAAGTATGAAAGCAGTTATTCAAAACTGGGTTTAGTGAGGTCAAAACACTGAGAAATGATTTTAATGAGTTTAAAGCCTGTGTTCATTAGCATTTCAGGGGCGTGGGGGTTACTGGGAATCGAACTTAGGACCTTATGCTATGCTACTGAGGAGTGTGTGTTTTCTTTAACTACATCAGCTAGGGAGACAGCTGAGCAGCATAGTGCCTGCTTGGTAAATGCAAGATCCTGAGTTGGATCCCCAGTACCAAAAAACAAAAACAAAACAAAACAAACCCTAAAATATCAAATTTCCTAACAGGAGAAACAAAGTAGGAATTCATTGTGAAGGGTAACAAGATCTTTCTTCCAGATCTTCTAAAAATTAAAAGAAATTCTTACAAGTCTAGTATATTTTCATCAAATTGATCTACCTAAAAGCAGCCAGTGTTTAGATTCTCTCCCAGCCCTAAATAGTCCTGACTACATAGATCCTGAACATGCCAGCACCAAGGAGCACACAATATTTTTCAGGACACTATTTTGCTTCTATTTTCCTGTCTTGTGATAAAACAAATATTCACTGTTCTAAAACATACACAATTTTGGACCAAACTTAAAATAATTCAATAGACAACTAGCAGTCAAGCACCCTAGGCTTAAGGCCTTGTTTTATTTGATTTTAGCATGAACAATTATGAAAATACCACAAAAGATGACCATGCAATGGGTTTGTAGGATCTGGGCTATGCTCACGTCTTCAAAGAATGAGTAAGTGTCTTATCTACATAGATAAGAAAGCCTGTGATGTCCTGGAAGCAGAAAATTGCATTCTGATAACTTATCACCCCAGCTGCTCAAGTTGAAGGGGAAAAACCCCACCACATCAAAGAGCCTGATCTATAACAAATTTTAGAATACTCAGAAAAAACACTCATGGGTTGCTTTCTGCTAACAGAGCTGAATGAATGAGGACATGCATGATTTTCATTCAGTCCAGGAACATTTCTTGAATGGCAAAGCCAGAAAATTCACCCATTCTGTTTTTCTGAGGAGAACAGCTCTTAGAAGGCTGTTGAGGGGTTGTGGGCAGCAAGGCAGCCTAAAAAGACTTGAGCATTCTGTTTCAGGGCAGCATCCCTGCAAAGCCACCTGGATCAAAGGTTTCTCCCCACCGTCACCGCCAGGAACTGCCTGCTGGCCAGTGGCTTGGTGAGAGGTCAGGGCTCAGACAGACAGAGTTCAGGCCCAGCTGTGGGGGCAGAGGCTAGCTGAGGGGCAGACTGCTTGCCCAGAACATGTAAGGCCTTGGGCTCTATCCCTAGCACTGCCAGAAGTGAACAAAACTAAAATCAGCAAGCAACTTTGCCTCTATGCATCTCAGACGAAACAGAAACACCTCATTTAGTCTTAAAGCTGCTTGATAGGAAACTCATGTGACATGAAGCACTTACAGCTGTGACTGGTGCTCAGCTGGGTCTTCTCACCCAACTACTCCCTCCCTCTCACCACCTCCCTATCTGCAAACTGCCACTCTCCTCTACCTGGAGAATGCTCAGAAACCCCCTCCCACTCCACAATTCCAGAGAGGAAAAGCTGTCCACAGAGAGAAAAGCTGTCTTATCAAGCAATAGTCTGGGGGTAGAGTGTTATCATGGGAGTACAAACTTAGTCCCTGGGCCTGCCCTCAAACTGTGGAATGTCTGGGGGTTGCCCTACCTGGCAGCTGACAAGGAAGGGACCTGCTGTATGTAGTTTGAACAGAAAACATATTGCCAGTTTGATACTAGCAGAAAACAGACTTTTTCTTTTCTTTTAGGTACGAGGGATTCAAACTTAGCTACGAACCCAGGAATTCTCAGGATTTTATTTAGTTTTATTTATTTATTTATTTAGAGACAAGGTCTTGCCAAGTTGCTTAGGGTGGGCTGACATTGGCGATCCTCCTGCCTCAGCCTTCCAGAATGCTGGGATTACAGGCATGTGCCATTATGCTAGCAAGACATTGATTCTTGTGTCTGAGACAAAGAACTTGCAGTCACAGCCATGCCTGAGTATCATTCAGTGTGTGTGGTGGTTCAAGAGCCAATGCCATAGGTCCACTCAGGCTACAGGCTGCATCACAGCAGACGGAGCCACAGCCAGGGCGGCCTAAACCCTTACATTGGTGGTTAGTCAGGTAGACTAACCTGTGCTCTAGGGGAAACATTATCTCTGAGTTCAGTGCAAAGGCCTTGGATTCAATCCCCAGGACTGCAAGAAAAATAAGAAAAGCTTATAAGCAAGTCCGCACTTTGCCCTGGAGAGAGATAGTATCTGTATCCTTTAACAAAGCTCACTCTGCACACATTCCTGGAAAGACAGCCAGAAACCAAGGTCTGTCATCTGTTCACAGAGCAGAACAGGAGATGCTGTGTCTCTGCAAGTGTCAAAAGCTAAGGCAGTGCCCATCAGCATTTGGGCTGGAAGACTCAGTATGGCAAAGAACGGAATAACCCCGACTTAACACAACTGCAATGGGAAAGTGTCTGGTAAAAAGTGAAGAAGTAGGGCTGGAGAGATAGCTTGGCAGTCTAAGCACCTCCCTGGCAAGTGCGAGGACCTGGGTTCAATCCTAGGTACCATGCTGGCAATGCACTGAGCCGGCCACTGAAACTGGGTATAGTGGTGCATACCTGTAATCCCAGTGCTGGGAGGCTGAGACAGGAGGATCACTGTAAGTCCAAGCTGCATAGCAAGACCCTGTACCTACCAAGTAAATAAATTAATAAATAAAGTGAAGAAATAATTTTCACATTCATATGGAAAGAAGAATGGCTTACAAAGTCAAAACCTAACATAATAATGAACAAATCTGGAGTAGTCATGCTACCTTACTTAAGACTTACTACAAAGCCATCAAGACTGACTGCACAGTATGGATCAGTCATAATGATACAAAACTAGATCAGCAGAACAGAACAGGTCCCCAAACTAGCTGCCACCTATCTCATCAGTTCATGCTCAATGCAGGAGCAAAGACAGTTCAAGTAAGAGGAATCTCTAGCCAGTGGTGCAGCGCAAGCAGAGAGCCTTGTGCCTGATAGGTTCTGGCCCTAGTACAAACTGCTAAATCATCATGGTGGTCATCTAATATGTCTGAAGACCTTAAAAGAAAAGCCCATCTTCCCCAAGACCACCTCCCCCCTTCTCCAACTCTATCCAGGTGCAGTTTCCTTTTACCCTTACCTCCGCCTCAGGGAAGACCCCCAATCAGCTCACTCAGGTGTATCTAAACATCCTCTTCCAACTCCACCCTCAACAAAAGGCCATAAAAGCCTCAGCCTCCTTTGTTCCAGTCCAGAGAATTACTTATCTTCCCCATATTTTCTCCACGTCCTCAAAGAAAATAATTTCTCTTTCCCTTTTTCCTTCTGTCTGTTTCTCTGCTGCACCAGGCACCTGAAAAACCCTATCAGTGCCAAAGAAGCCAAAAGACACCTCTTGCCACACACCAATGTCAAATCAGATAGGTCATGTAAACAAATGTAAAATGAGAAACTATAAATCTGTCAGGAGAATAAAACACATCAGAAAACCTTTAAAACCTTGATTTGGGTAAGGATTTCTATACTAAGAACATGACTTGTATAAGAAAAAGTAACAAACTTCACCAAAAACCAAGATCTCCTTTTTTTTTTTTTTTTTTTTTTTTTGTACACAAGGTCTTACTATGTAGCTCAGGCTTCAAATTTAGAGTGATCCTCCTACCTCAGCTTCCCGAGTGCTAAGATTACAGATGTGCACCTCCATGTCCAGCACAAGATCTGCTTTGCATAAGATGCTCTGAAGAAAATGAAAGAAAAGCCACAAAGTGGGGGAAAATGTTTTTCCCATGCACGTGACAATGGACTCATATGTGGAGCACAACAAAAACCATGAGTGCTCCACATCAAGAAGTAACTCCACACTGCTGAAGTAGCAAGAGAACACTTCATCCAGGACAAGGGGCACAAAAACACCGATGACAGATACTCAATACCATCAGTAACATCATATAGCATATCACATTTATCTAGCTGTTCCCCTACCCACACCTCAACCCCCTGCCCACCAGTGTCTGGGAATTAAACTCAGGGAACTTGCACTTGGATACATCTCGAGGTCTTTTTGTTTTGAGACAAGGTATGGCTAAGTTTCATAGGTTGGCCTCAAACTTGTACTCCTCCCACCTTAGTCTTTCAAATAGCCAGGATTATAGCTACCACCATGTGCCACACTGCACAGCAGAAATAACATCTTGACACATTGCTCCTGATTTTTATTCCACTAATACCTCCTCCTGCTGTAGAGGCACAACACACAATTGTGTGAGAAGTATGCATGTAACAATACTTACCACTCAAAAGCCACCACAGCAAAGGGATGAATCCAGGACTCTCACTGATGTATTTTAAGCCTTTCAAATTGATGCTCACATTGTACAGGGACATTAGCATTAACCTGAAATGCAAAAAGATCAGTGTTGATGTGCTGATCCTTTCCTAACTCCCCCACCCTCCTAGACACTACAGGACAGGCTCTTCCACCTGGTCTTTACAGTCCTCATCAAGGAAGTAGTAACAGAAGTGAGTTCATAGTACACACCACAGGAAAATTCATGGAGTGTGCTAGATACTGCAAGCAATAGCCAGCACAAGGAACCACAGACAGAGCCAGAACACAAAAGTTCTCAGGTACTACCAGCAGCAGCTACAGAACAGAAACAAGTATGTTTATTAAGTAAAAATACATCTAAAAGAAATTAAAGCATGATCAGAACACTAGGGCTAGGGCCAGGAAGATAGCTCAGTGGAGTAAGTGCTTGCCTGGTCCTGAGTTCAATCTCTGGTACCGCAAAAAAACCACAAACGAACAAACAAACAAACAAACACTAGGCTACCATTATGAATAACCAGACAATCAAAAACTAACAACTTACAAAAATTAAAACAAAACCTAAAATGCAAGATAACTGAATACATACAAAAGGGGAAACACGACACAGAAAACACAGCAAAGAAAGAAAAATGAATGGAGAGTCTAGTGTGAAAAGTTCAAGGCATGTCCAACTGGGGTACCACAAGGAAAAAATGTTTCAAAATCATATAGCCGAGACTTCTCTACAAATGAGGAAATAAAACCCCTTATATTCAGGAGTCATGAAAAAAATCTCAAGAAATACAAAAATGTAAGTCTACACACACTGCAGTCTAACTCAACACCAAAGACAGAGGTTTTTAGAAGCAACCCAGGAAAAAAGACAGAATGGGTACAGGATAGGACTGGAAGCTGAGCTCTCAGGAACACAGGCAGGTTAGAAGGTAGGGAAAGTACACTTCCAAGTGCAGAAGAGAAAGTAACAGCAGATTCAGAGTGATAAACCCACCAAAATTTCCAGCAAATGAGGTAAAGTAAAAATACTGTCAAAGAAAATCTAAGGTTTTACCACAAAAAAACCTAAACTTATAATAGAGTTTTAAGGACAAACATAGGGGGGCTTGTGGGTTAGCTCAGTAGTTTAATAGCCTGCATGGGCAAACTCAGTCAGGAGCAGGGATCGTGGTTTGGTCCCCATCTCCACATGCTGCACTAGACAGCCTGGACCGGGGGGGGGGGGGATCCTTCTCAAATTTTGGGGCTGGCCTGATAGCTCAGTGGACTAAAGCACCTGCTTAGGCAGAGCACAGTGGCCAGGGTTTGATCCCCGGCGTACTGTGCTGGCCCCACCCACAGGGCACGCTGAGCTGGCGACTGAAACTGTGCATGGTGGCACATATTTGTAATGGGATTACAGGCACTTGGGAGGCTGAAAACAGGAGAATCACTAAAGTCCAATCTACATAGTGAGATCCTGTAGACCCTGTCCTAAGTTCAGAAAATAAATAAAAAAATAAAGGACAAACGTAGAAACCAGCAAACTGATCTCAGAATAACATTGTGAGCTACTAGAAAGAATAGCAAGTAAGGGTGACATGCGTACAGGGAAACAAATTCTGGCAGTCAAATCAGTAACGATGTCTATCGTATGTAACCTCGTGGTTTTTCCAGCAAAGTAAGGAACACTCAACAAATGCATGCCAGGACCTCGGTATAAGGGCATTTTGCAGCCCTTCTTTGGGCCAAGAGAATAAAAAAGCACTGCTTACTCTCAAATAGGTACCAAATATACCAACACAAACTTTAAGTAGGGGCCAATCACTGGAACACAGAAGTAGAGGCAAGCCTGTATACAGCTACACCCCTGAAAGCTCCTGATCTCAGCAGCTCAGCAGGGGTGGGCCTGGTTAGTACTTGGATGGGAGAAACAAGCAAATTTTTAAGACCCTATCTTTATGAATTTAAGAGGAGAAAGGGAGGAAAGGAAGAATGGTGGAGGGGGCAGGGGTTTAGAAAAAAAACTAAAAAAACCAGAAATAAAATATGATGGAAGAAATAAACCCAAATATTTCAGTTTCCAATATTAATGGAAGAAAATTTCCATTAAAATGATTCCCATATAGTTAGGATAGATATACAGCTATTTTCTCTTAATTCAATGAGAAGAAAGATTTGTACTACTAAGTGTTTGGACAGGATATCATGTCTGCATCTTGTACTATGAATAACCACTATGAAAACAACAATATGCAATGTATTAATTATTGTAACTGTCATATTAATCGGTTTTGCAACTGTCTCACTGCTATTTGTTTCTCAATTAAAAAAAATGATTCCTACAGATCACTGACTGTTAGACTGGATGAAAACCAAAACATATATAACATATATAATTTTTTTTTTGAGACAAGGTCTTGCTATATAGTTCAGGCTGGCCTTGAGCTCACTTTGTAGCCCAAGCTGGTCTTGAACTCCAGACAGTCGTCCTGCCTCATCTTCTTGAGTGCTGGGATTACAGGTGAGTGCCACCAGGCTTAGCACCCTAAATATCTTTTTAAATTCACACCTAACACAACATTAAAGGCAAAGTGAAGTGTCGGCACAGACACACCAAGCAAACACTAACAGGAACAAAGGATGGAAGAGAAGGCTGAGGTTGCTATATAGAAAAGAAATGGTCTTACGGAGACACATTTTTACAGACAAAGGTAAGTATGTGACATTAAAAGTCAAGTTCAGTAGGAAGGTTATCACTCTAAGTTTGCAGGCATCTAATAATACTATATATCCTCAAAATTATATAAAAGTGCAATGAATGGAGATATAAACTGATGAGTCCACAATAAAGGAATAATTTAACATATGGATCATAGTAATTGATACATTATGTGGATTCTCTGATCCATCATGCAAATAAGTAAAAAACCAAAATTTAAAGTAAATTTTATTTTTTTTATTTTTTATTTTTTGGCTTAATGTTTTGTATTTTTTAATAATTAGAGAGGCTAATTTCTCTCTCTATTCATTAATAGTAACACATTTTTTGACCTAGGCCAAGCTAATAAAATAAACTTTATTTTTTTTTCTTCTT